AGGGAAGCTATGCCTCCATTCATTCTGCAACACAACATGTTCTGGTACATCACATGATTTCGACTAGGAAGAAAACTGTGACAAATTTCTTCACCGCTCCTAATTTATACCTGAACCCAGCATATCCAAAGAAGATGGCTTGCAGAAATCCACCCATCCCAGTCAAGAAATTTACAGCTCCTGATCCATCAGAGTTTTCCACCCAGATCTAAGAAAAAGAAGAAAATATATACATACGTATAGATGATTGTTGTCAAGAGTAGAAGAACTTAAAGACAGGAATAAAATATGCCCAATTGGTTGACCTTGAATGGCTCGGTGATGTTGCTGAAACATTTGCTCATTTGTTGTTGTGCTCTTTTGACTTCCTTCAGCTCCAACCAGCCAATTGCAAACATGCTCTGAAGGGAGAAAGACACCGGTAACACTGAGGGTGCACTCTATCATCAACACACCCGTTATTCAAACAGATGTACTGCAGATGGACAGGACCCCACATTTTAAAGACAGGAATCACATGCTCCCTTCCTTAAGGTCAGTTTTTTACCCAAGTCATGGCTGGCCCCTGGGGATCAGTCACAGGTTCATAGATCTCAAGATCATTCCTTCTGACTTCTGGGTCCATGGGGTCCATCAGGGGAAACCCAAGCAAGACAACATCAGCTTGTTTCACTGGCTCACCTGTGGGAAAAGGCATGAAGCAAAGTTCTGAGGTGATCAAGATGTGGAATGGGGATCGCCAAGGAAATGGAACCTCCCATTTTCATACCACATTTCCTTTGAAGGCAAAGGGGGATGCAGAAAGAAAGCCTCTACCAAAGAATCTTGACGTACGGGAAGCAAAGGTGCAGCAGCTGTCACAATATATTAACATGCTGAGAAAAGCTCATCTGGTTTTTGTTTTACCCATACCACAATAAAGCCCTACAAGTCTGCTAAAATGTCCATTTGAAGAAGCAACTTGCAGATATTCTAGTATCTGGCACACCAGTTTAAATAATAATTTAGCCAATATGCGAGAGAGTTATCTCTTTCCAACACACTCCTTCTTGAAGGGACAGGCAACTAATAATCAAAAGCTACATGCAGTATCCAAATCATCTGCTACTTTGACACAACCAATGCTGTCCTTACGGTTTCAAGCAGTTTTAGGCAATCGGGATAATTGGAAGGAATGGGAAAACAAACGTTCCCATTTCTTTCTGGCAAAGAAATCACTGTGTTCCCAAATATCAATGAAAGTGAGAATACAACAATTTTGCCTTTTTTTTTGTTGGTGAGAGGAAAAGGAAAATCTCTTAGCTTTGCACTATTCTTCTCATCCCCATTACCCCAATGGAGAAAGTACATCCCTGAGGAAGAATTTAAAAATACTGAATTTTGAGCAAAATATTAATTTGATATCCTCCAATTAGCATGCAAACTGAGTGATGGTTACATTCCCATGATTAGACGAACATTTGACATGCAGTGCAGTTGTTTTTAAAGTTAGGATGAACACCTCAGTTTCTTCTTCTGAATTCCTCACCTGGACAATACCCATCATATTCTGGATGGTAACATCTGCTCTTATCCAAAGGCACTTTAAGTTTCTTCATAATCTCCTTCCACTCTTCAGGCACAACAAAATGCAACTGGGAGCCCAAGTCAATTGCAAATTTCAAACTGAAATGATATGGAGGGAAAAAGATCTAGCTGACTTAACCTAACAGAGAATTACAAATTGGAAAAAGGTTGACATTTAGTGTTTTAAAAGACAACATCAGTATATTTGGGGCACTTATTTCTCTTTGAGGTTGCTCCTGATTGGGTGTTAAAGAGGTATTAAATTATTCCTCCCAACACATGTTTTAATCATTGTGATGTCATACTTGCTTAATGTTTACTCCTGTGAAATTACATGGCATCCCAGAGGTACAAAGGCATACGTTTTGTTGCAGAAGAAAAATCAGCTATATGCTGCTTAAAGAAGTTTTGTGGACTTCCTCTAGTATGGGGGTAAAGACAGGTAGATTTAAAAAAAAAAATATTTACATTAACAGTCACCAAAAGTATCTACACAAGTTTTGTAATTATATTTCAACCTTTCTGCTTTTTACCAGTGTTACTTGGGAACAGAATATTGATTTCTGAACAATGCTGTTATTTTTCCATAAATTTCAAAGAGATGGCTTCTAATGAAACCAAGGAAACCAGCAGCAACATTTTTAAGTTTATCATCTGTGTATTTCCATTCCTTTTTCTTTAGAGACTCTTTAAATGAACATGGGACCTGAGATCTTGGATAGCCCAAACTCATGGATTGTTTAATGGAGGTTTTTTTGGTACAATGAGGAACATTCTTCCCCAAACCCCAAAAACTTTAATCTTAGACTGTCTACTATTGACCTCACCCCTTTCCTAAGAGGTCTGCAGGGGGCATGCATAAGTGCACCAAAGTGCCTACCGTCCCTGTCCTATGGTTTCTATTATTTTTCTTATATGTATCCATGTATTTGTAACTATGTTTTTACTTATACCTATTATCTTGTAAGCAATTGACAAACCAAATAAAATAAAGTAAAATAAATAAATAAAAATAAAATAAACATTAGACTGGACCCTTCCAAATTTGGAATTCTCTTGCCCACCACTAGGGATGTCTTCTCTGGCACTAACTGGTAGGGGTGTGATGACAAAATCTAAAGCTAGAGAAACACATTTGTAGACAACCGTCACCCTCATGAACTGAATTTGAAAAATATTCCCAAATAATCCTTAAAGTACTTGGAAATTTCTGCTTGAATTTATATTATTCAAACCAATTAAGGGAAGCTTTGAAAAAAGTAGCTTACAATTTGCAAAGAAGCAATATATACTTCATAAGACAGAGTATCCTTACAAAAAAATCTTACTCTATTTCTATTTGATTGGCTTCCTTTCCTTTCTTTACATGGGCAGTGTCTTTCTCAAAGGGGGTGAGGAGAGAGAGAGGAAAAAGTTAGTCTTAAACTATTGCTGCATTGAAAGCCAACTTCTCCTGGAAACCAGAAAGTAAATTCTGTATCTACTGGAAGTAGAAGGAAGAGAGAGTTGACAAATACTTGGTTTGGCCTTCGGACCAGGAAATTCAAAGCATCTTCCCAAGAGTTGGGCAGAAGAGATGAAACTCCCCAGCCAGCCAGACTAAAGTATGACATGAGGCTCAGCCTATCATAATCGTTCTTTATACTCCTGAAAGACAGAGCAGGCCAATGAGCTTTTCAATTACAGGTAGTCCTTGACTAATGGCCACAGTCGAGACCAAAATTTCTGTTGTTAAGTGAAACATTTATTACGTGAGTTTTGCCCCATTTTACTTTTTTTGCCACAGTTGTTAAATGAATCAACGCAATTGCTAAATTAGTAACACGGTTGTTAAGTGAATCTGGCTTCCCCGTTGACTGTCAGAAGTTTGCAAAAGGGGATCACATGACCCTGGGACCCTGCAACCACCATAAATATGATCCAATTGCCAAGTGTCTGGATTGTGATCATGTGACCATGGGATGCAGCAATGGCCATAAGTGTGAAAAATGGTCATAAATCATTTTTTCAGTCATGCTGTAACTTTGAACAGTCACTAAATGAACTGTTGTAAGTTGAGGACTACCTGTATTTAAATTTATAACAGATAACAAATGCATTGAGAAAGTGAATTCAATGTTAACATAAAAAAGCCCAAAGTAGAAAAAAGCTAAAGGACACAAAAGAAAGAACAGGAGATCTGGACGAAGACAAGGACAGAGAAGAATTTCTAGAAGAAGAAGGGCAGAGAAGCAGGATCAGCAATTCTGGAAATCTCTTACCTCCTCTGGGCAACTGCATTTGTATAGACAGAGTTATCTACAGTACGGTGATATTCATCTGGGGGCATAACACCTAAAAGGAGGCAGATATTTTAAAATCCAGCAGCCCTTCCATAGGCCTCACTGTGATTTCCCCAGGGTTAGGAATGGACACCTGTAAGCTGTTCAATCTTTTTTCTCCTCCCAGAATAACTGTTGCAATAAGTATTGATGGATGCAGGTTGAAGGGTGCATATTGGTTGCAATGCATTTGGTCATTGAAAAAAAAACTTTATTGCTTTTCCTCCTGTCTCCCAAGGTCTTTCCCACCTACCATTAATAGGTTCTGCTTCATCAGCTGTAGCTACTAGAGGAGATGCACTGAACTGACTTCTATCCCTGCTCAGGAGTTCCCTCACACACTTACCAACAATGTGATAGTTTTCTTCCTCAGAGTTCCACACAACTCGGCTGCACCAGTATTGAGCGATAGCCTGGACTACATCCCAGCCACCTTCCTGCTGAAAGAGCTTCAAGTCCTAGAAGCACATCAGGAGGGATTCCATTGACCCTGGAATGCCCCATCTGACTCAGGCAGGCTAACCTGGTTTAATGGCAAAAACAGAAGCAAGACAGGAGGCAACAGTGGCTACTCCAAGCCCAGCCCCAGCTACCTGAGTGATACACAAATATTGCTCGAATGCCAGCATCACATCTCCATTGATGTGGATCTCCTCGTCTCCATAAATTTTCTCAGGGCAGACCTCTCGGCCTGTTGCTGCACTCTCCCAGGGAAACTTTGCACCCTGCCACAATCAAAACCAAAATAAAATAAAATAAAGTATCTCGACAAGATCGAGGCATATTAAATAGTAAAACATTTGCTTTCTTTGAAGGCTTTCAAATCCAGAGCATGCTTGTTCAGGAATGGGCAGCTTCTTGCTGCATGACAGAAGAGCCTGCTACAGACTGGTCAGTTTCTGTCCTCAGTGAGAGAAAGCAACTTTTCAATGTCATTCTGGGCATTCTCGTTCAGTTGACAAAGAATAGTTCTTGCTCTTGTTAAATGGTGGTTCCCTATAAAACTCTCCACTTGGCTCAAATGGGGTAAAACTCATGGGGGAGGGGCTGAATTAAGCACCTTCAGTATTCAGCCACGTGTTCATGGGAAAGAAGAGCACCCAGGAAGATGGCACAGGAAGGCCATTGTCTAGATCCAATAGGCAACTCAAGAAGGTTTCTGTTGTGATGCCAATACTGCAGCTTAGTTGTTGCCAGGCGTTATAGCCAGTCTGGTGCAAGGGCTAAGGCACCAGGCTAGAAACCAGAAAATTCTGAGTTCTAGTAGCAATAGCACTTAGATAATTATATACTGCTTTATAGTGCTCTACAGCCCTCTCTAAGCGGTTTACAGTCAGCATATTGCCCCCAACAATTTGGGTCCTCATTTTACCCACCTTGGACGGATGGAAGGCTGGGTCAACCTTCAGCCTGGTGGGATTTGAACTGCCAAATTGTAGGCAGCTGGCTGCAGAAGTAGCTTGCAGTACTGCACTCTAACCACTGCACCATAGAGGCTCATAGTATCCGCTTAGGAAGCAATCAAGTTGGGTGATCTCGGGCCAGCTGTTTATTCTCAGCTCTAGAAAGAAGGCAGTAGCAAGCCACTTCCAAAGCCTTGCCAAGAAAAATGCAGGGATTAGTCCAGTCACCAGGAGTCCAGACTGTTTCAAAGGCATAACCCCCACCCAACCTCTATAGCTTACCATAACATTTACTGAGACTTAAAATCTTCCATAAATTATTTTCAAATTAGCCTGTTGAAATTTGGAGCACCTTGCCTACTCTGACCATTTATGCTTTCTGAAGAACAGAGAAGAGATCCCTGAGTTGTCTTCAAAGCAAGGTCTGGATCTGGAAAAGAAGCCATCTAACTTCTGAGAAAGAGTTAAAATCTCTCCAATTTAGACACCACTTCCTGCCCTTCTACTTCCAGCCTCCCCCACTTCAGATTGCAAGAGCTGCTGTAGAATATCATCAAGGCTTTCATAACTGTTTAGAGCCACTCTTGTTTCAAAGGAGCTTCTGCTGCTGCTGCTGCTGCTCCAGGATTTTACTTTTGTTTTTTGAAAACTTTGCCGAAATGGTAAAATTAAAAACTGTTCAAGCGAGGGGGAACTTCTGTGTGGATCCCTGTCAGGACTAAAGGAAATAATAAAGGAAACGGGTTGCATGCCTCTTTCTGTGGAAAGAGATGCCACATTTCCTTTTGCCTTTGCAGGTGGCTTCTACCTTGTATCCTTGTTCCCGTGCGTTGTGTAGAGCTCCCTCAAGTGTTCGGATCCTGTATTTTAAGATAGTACAAGCCGCTTCTGGATAGAAAAGCAGGATGTTTGGGTATATCCAGGTATCCTAGGTTTAACAACAAAAAGGGACATATAAATATTGCCATCCAATGCAAAAGATCTGCACGTTAGAGAAAAGGCAGCAGTTATTTCCCATAAGGGCTCCCCGCTTCAGATGAGGGAGAGATAGAGAGCGGGAGTCTTCTGGGAGACAAGCTTTTTCAACCCCAAAACAAAATCTGGGCCCTAGGAACGATGTCGCTTCAGCTTAAAGATTAAACTAGAGAACCACATAATGAATATTCTTCTCTGGGGCAGGAGACTGGTGAAAAGTTGTGGAAGAAAAACTGATGGGCCCAGAATCTTATACTGAATATGCATAATAAAGGTAAAGGTTCCCCTCGCACATACATGCTAGTCGTTTCCGGCTCTAGGGGGCGGTGCTCATCTCCGTTACAAAGCCGAAGAGACAGCACTGCTTGAAGACGTCTCTGTGGTCATGTGGCTGGCATGACTAAACGCTGAAGGCGCATGGAACGCTGTTACCTTCCCACCAAAATGGTCCCTATTTTTCTACTTGCATTTTTACATGCTTTCGAACTGCCAAGTTGGCAGAAGCTGGGACAAGTAACGGGAGCTCACTCCATTACACGGCGCTAGGGATTCGAACCACTGACCTGCCGACCTTTCTGACTGACAAGCTCAGCATCTTAGCCACTGAGCACCGCTTCCCTATGAATATGCAGGCACATATTCATATCCCTGAATATGCACAGCTAGTCCCGATACACATCACAATTTAGGATAGGGATCCCCAACCTGTGGGCTGCGGCCCACCACCAGGCCGTGGCCTCTTGGCCACTGGACCTTGTGATTGACTGGCCAACGCATGTGAATGTCACGCAGGTGCTAGTGTCATCGCGAGCATCGGGTTCATGGCCTAATTCATATGTGTGCATGCACTCCTAAAGGCGACTGCCCCTCCCTTTCCCTCTGGGCCTCCAGAAGGTTGGGGAACTCTGGTTTAGGGGAGAGTGTTTAAATCAGGAAGAGCAAGGACAATAATAAAATATGGTATTTTACATGTCAGATGAAACAACTGGAAGGTTAGCAAAGCTTAACTTGTAAAGGAATGGATAGAGAGGGAGGGGAGAAACAGAGACAGATCCAGAGTCAGGTCGTTTGTTAGTAAGACCTTCCAACCTCTTAACCATTTTGAAAAGATATTTTATTCGAGAAGCAGAGACTGGGCCTTAGGACAGAACACAGATAATGGCCAGATTCAATCCATGTCACTTCCAATTAAAAAGAACCCTAGTTTAAACACACACATACATTGTACTCCATGTATGCCAGGTGAGATGAAGTAAATCTTTCTATCTTCACTTTCCAGGTTGAGTCACATATCTGAAATAACAGTTGACTGCATGGTACTTACATCATCCTGCAACTGACAGAGATGGAACTGGATAAAATTCACAACACCTTTTAGTCTTTG